CTATTGTTGCCCTTGCATGATTTGGTCCTCCAGATTTATGCTCTATAGCTTGAACTGTAATTTTTTTTTTACTTTGTTCTGTTGTTTTTGCTTGCATGTAGAACACAATTATAAGATCATTTTTACTGAAATTCTAGAGGTTGACATATTTCTTGGATATGAATTTAGTCAGTAATGATATGCAACCTGTTGAAAATATAACTGTTGTAAAATTTAAAATTTGAAATTTTGATGGCATGGCACAACTCGTCATCATACTCCGTTATCATTAAAGTGCTTACGTGTTATGTCATGTGATATTTTTGAATTATATTATTGAAAATTAGTTAAACCTAGTTGAACTAGTTAGCTAAAATAGAGAACGTGGTTAGAGTAAATTTTAAAAAATAATTAGATAAAATAGAGAATTTAATATTTAAATATATTTTGAATAACTATTTTGCTGTGTGATTAGAGATCCTCTAACAGCAGCATTGAGCAAGTGGGATTTGCAGCTTCGTATTATGAAGTTTCTTGATACATGAAGTGCATGCTTTTGGAAGAGTTATTGACTTTTCGCCATGGGCCAACTTTGAGTTGGGTTTGACTTTGCGGAAAATTTACAAGATTTGTGGTGTTTCTCAAAGTTTTTGGGTTTGACAAAAGGAAACTTTGTTGCGTTTGACAAAAACTTCTGGAATTTGTCAACAACTCAAAGATTTTGAAATATTAGGATTGAACTTCAAAATTTGAAATGGTTGGGATAATGTTATAATTTTTAAAGTTCAAATTATTATTTTTTTAGAGTCAAATTATAACTTTTTGAGTTATTTGAGACCAATCTTAAAATTATCACCATCATTCCTATTTAGCATCCTTATAATTTTAGGAGCAATCACAAACCCCAAAAAGTAGTAAATAAGCCAAAAAAATTATAAATAAAACCTTAAAGACTTATATATGGTCTTACCGTATCGAATTTTTTATTTTTGAGTATCGTAGACTTCTCTGCAGCAGCCAATTCATGAGGAAATATCAAATCCAAGCAGATATTTACACCTAGAAAATCAAGGGTGGCCCAAGACTATTTGAGGTCTAAAACGGCAATTAAAAGTGAAGTCTTTTATTTAGTCCTAGCAATTATAATCTTATTTTTATCACAAATATTATCTATGTAATACCTACTTAAAAAAGTCAATAATTGCGGCTAACCAATATAAAAGATAATTTTAACCTTTAAAAAGTCAAAAATTGCGGCTAGACTTTTATATGAGAATTATATCGGAGGACATTTCGGTCTTTTTAGTTTATAATACCTATACCAATAATATAATACCACCCCCTAAGTGGTATTCATTAAAACCTTCTACAAGGCATTATAGCTACCGTTCATAGCGGGTCGGTATTACGATCCGAAAAATATTACTGACTATAAAATGTCAAACAAACAATGTATAAGATGGGTCACACGTACTATTTTCCTAATATCACCTCCTTATACCACTCTAATACTCAAAACAAACGGTCCCTAGGTGCATTGCACAAGAATATTTTTCTAACACAAAAATTAATAAAACATATTAAGTATATGTGTATTTGAATTAAATATCATTTCAAATTTATCAAACTTAATTTTTTATTCCTCATATTTTGTTATAAAATTATGAAAACTTTACATGTTCCTAAATTTTTTTTTCTAACTATTAGAAAAAAGAAATAGTTAAAGTTCTATTTTTTTTTTTGAAATTTTATGATTGAGATTGATTTTTTAGTGATGTTTGAGAAATTAAAATTTTTGAAATTCATTTAATTAGGATTCCACTTATAATTTCTTGAATAAAATAAAAGTAATTATCAATATATATCTTAATCACATTAAAACCTTACTGTAAATAGGAATTGGGTGGATGGTGGCTAATTAATTTTTTTTTTTTTTGATCAACGGTTAGGAGTGTCCGAACTAATTTACATTCATCTCGACTAATTTCATCTTCAGTTTAGTCAAAGACAGGTTATCTATGTTGGGAATAGAGTATTCATCTTTCAGCACAACTTCACCCAACCATTTCTCCCTCAAATCAACTCCAAAGTGGGTGATTCAAGTGCCTAACCTACTCCTTTTCAATACTACTTTCAATCCCCAACCTTAGTTTTATCCAAAAAAAAAAAAAAACCCTACCATTTTTACAAAAACTGAGTCAAAGTTGGATCGAAACCATTTTCTCAGCCAAAAACAAGACCTACAACTTGACTTTTCAACCCCCAAACCTAAATATTTCACAAATCTAACCCCGAAATCAAGTTCCTATACCCCAAAACTAGTGGACCATGTACCCTCACCTTAAACATCCTTTTTTAAAGAATTCACAAATTCAAGTTTAAGAACCTAAACTAGGGTTTTCCATTTTCTCACCTGTACGCCATGGCCTTTCAAACCAAGACCACGTACATGTACATCATGAATCTATCCTAGTTCATGCTTCAATTGCGTAAAATACATATGATTTATACTATACTCGGTTCATAAGTTCCATAACCCCAATTTGTAAAGTTCTTCACTTTTTTCCTCTCTCACACTCTAAACTCTCTCTTTCTACCATTTTTGTGAGCCAAAGAGACTTATGTTTTATTTAGTATGATGAAAAAATGGAAGGATGAAAAGTTAGAAGGATAGAGAAAATATCATAGTTTGTAACGAAAGAAAAAAGAAAAGATTGAAAAGTAGATAGATTTACTTTCCTTTTAATTTATCAAAATTAATTATGTGTATTAAAATGTACGTTATTTATCTATATATCTTTTGATATATACATATATCATATTTATTAATTACATATTATTATATTTTTTTTAAATAAAAAATATTTTTTCCATCTTATCAAAAAAAATCAATCCTTCTTACTTTCCATCTCTTGAAAGGAAAAAAAAAAAAAAGAGGGAAAGAGAGATTCATCCCTTGAAAGAAAAAAAATATATCACTTTCACTTTTCATCTTTTTATTTTTTTCATTCACCCTATAAAACACAAAAAGAGGTAAAGAGAGATTCATCTCTTGAAGAATAAAAAAAAAAAACACTTTCATTTTTCATCCTTCTATTTTTCTTTTCACTCTGCAAAAAAAACCATTTGGGATAGAGGGAGGAATCCCCTTTGCAAAGCCATCATGATCTGCATGCCTTCCATGCCTCTCCAAATGCCATCGGCTGCTTGCATCATATGACGTGCTTGGAATGGCATTTTGGTAATTTTTGAATTTTTTTGTCCTTTAGATATACTTAAATTCCTCTTCAATTAAAATATTAAGTTTTTTTTTAAATTCTCAATTGCGATAACCTATAAAACACGTATACATATATGGGATACGAGTATAATATGATAAAGATATGATAATATCGTAAAATCTAAAAAAAAAGTATACGGGTGCGGTCAAGATACAGTTATAATAAAATATATTTATTATTTTTATTATTTTCAATCATCATAATACATATATTTTGATAGTTTTTTAACACAATAAGGAAAATTTGTCATTCTTTTTAGTTTGAAGAAAATATATATTGCATCACTATGATATATTCACAAATTGAAATAATTAATTAAAAGAATCAAAGCAAATATTTACCTAATCAGTTTATTTGGAAGTGATTTTTTGCTAAAACTACAATGTAATAGATTTATTTTATACTCTTTTAACAAATAATTGTAGATAATACTTAAAAAATACACATATGCTTTTGAAGTAGTATGAATTTTTGTAAATGTATTGTATGGTATATGAATTCGAAAGTAAATGTTAAAAATTCAACTCAAAAATTATATATTTTACTTGAACACAAAACTATCCGTGAATTATGCTAATATTTAATTATTATCGAATACGTAAGAGGTGTATCTGATACGTATTCTCGAATATTCAACGAGTATCGTATTCGATAAAATATTCGATATAGATACGTCGACCCCAATAAAATATCCGTGATTCATAGGCGATAACCTAATCAGCATCAATGACTCTTACTCGGTAAATTTCGTCTAGTTGATCTAAATCCTCCAATTTTCAATGTTTCTTAACACGTACAATCATCAACTGTGAAATATATAAACTTAAAGCACTCTACTCAATGAATTCCCTCTTTGACCCTGCCTGAAATTCGGTCGTTACAGTTTACCCTGCTTATAGAAATTGTGTCCTCGAAATTTGGATTTCCTGCTTCTTAAGTCATCTCATATGTATATACTAGTTATTGTCTGTGCCTGAAAGCACAGAGTAATAAAAAAATGGTAAACAATAAATATATTTGTATTCAGATCTAAAATCAAATTAGAAACATAGAAAAAAAAAGAAAATAATTTAAGCACCAATTATAGTAAGAGTGATCGGTGATAGTGGTGGTGGGGTGGCAACGATGGCGATGGTGGTGGTGGTGGTAGTGATAGTGGTGATGGTGGTGGGGTAGAGTTGACGGTGGTGGTAGTAGTAGTGGTAGTGGTAGTGGAGGTGACAGTAGTGGTGGTGGTGATTGTGTTGATGGTACGGGCAGTGTTGGTGGTGGTTTTTGTGTAGAGGTGGTGATGGAGAGGCGGCGGCAGTGGTGATGGAAGTGATGGGGCAGTGGGGGTGGTGGTATGGTAGCGACAATGGTGGTGAGGGTGATTGTTGTTCTGGCAAAAGGGTGGCCGCAGTAGCGGTGGTTGTTGTGGTGGTGGTGGTGGGACAGTTCTGAAAATTATTTTTTAAAAAAATATTTATGAGAAGCTATAAGTTCTATAAACAATTTTAAAAAGTTATTTCAAACATTTCCTTAGGGATCTTTTTTCTCTATTAAATTTGGAGTATTAATATTAACCGTCGGATTAATTTTAAAGTAAAATTTAAAATGATCTTAACCACAAAAAATAAATATTATTTTATTTATCTTTTGAGATTTAAATTGTATTATACTTTATAATATAGATAACTTTCGGAATAAACTAAAAGTTATACTTACCTCACTCACTTTCCTTACATTCCTTACATTTCCTTATTTGCTGTCAGCATAAACACCATTTCTTTCCGCCGTAATATACTCGCCAGCGTGATGCAAAAATTCCATAAACCGTGCCTCATTCTGAGACACAGTCTACACATTCTACCACAGGTTCAAGAAGTCTAACATCAGATTATCCCTTACACTTTCGATGAAGTACTTACCATTCAATATAGTCTCCAATCTCTCCCAGGTCATTTCCCCTATCAGTTCTCTTCTCTGATTAAATCCCATCTTGAATCAGCTTCACCCTCAAATACATACGTAGCTAAGCTAACACACAGTACCGGTGAAATTTTCATAGCATTCATTACTTTCTTCACTTTTCGTAACCACCTTTCAACCTCTAATTGATACTCAATTACTCACCAAGCACGTCACTTGTAATGTCTCAGGAGCACCTTATTGATAATTCAAGTACAAACTGGTCACTTCCCAGCCGATGATTCTATTGTCCTAACCAAAAGTTATACCTTAGGGTTACATTCTATAACAAAGGATAATTCAATACTACACATTATTCTAAAATGTAAAAACACTTTCAAACTTTATTAATAATCTCAATTCTAAAACACACCAGTTTGAAAATGTATTACAACACAATGATTGGGAAATTAAAGCAGATCAGTTTTGTCCACTAATTCTTTCTCAAATCAAACACCACAAATGAATTCCTGGGTGTGATTAGAAGCTTACGCTGATGGTGGTTGAGCTCGAATTGGCAGAAATCCAAGAACAACGTTTAACGCCCCGGTTTTCTAAATGCATTACATGATAAAATTAATATACCTCGATAAAAATTATAATTACAAGTTTGATCTCCAAAGAGTGATAAAATTTTCAATTTCAATATTATGAAAATTATATCGAGATTCATCCATTTCTCATTCCACAAATATTTTAATCACGATGTCTACTCCAAAATCAACCTAAAAAATTAATTAAGCGAAAAAATATACAACACGACAAGAAACAATATGCTCAATGCTAACAATAGAAATGATCAAATACCAAATAAATCAATCGATAGATAATCAGGAACAACCGAATCAATAGTCAAATTCGATATATCACATAACTCAACTATAATTAAACATAGTTCATACGCAGTTCATCTTGGACATCACAAATAACACACTCATATTTCGTAAAATATGCCTGAAGAATACTTTGTATATGCATCCATCAATCGTAAAGTATTTAGTTCAAAATACAAGTCAATTCAACAAAAGTTTTAGAATTTCATATCAACGGAAAATAATCATATCAACAAAAAATAATCAACAGGAATACAACTTTCAGATGATCAAGAGGACACTCTTTGAATTGAAATTAAAAGGCAGAAGCATAATATATATTACCCCGTACATCTAATTTTATCTTGTAATGAGATCATGCGCGGTGTCAAAACAATACCAAATAATATTTTTGAATAATTATAAAACTAAGTAATTATGACTTATTTAAACCAAAACTAATTTTTATCAATGTTCAAATTTGATTCAAAAATATTTAACGAGGATCAAATTAAAGTGATTGCTTGGGAAATTGAACTTACGAAGTTGATAATTCATAACCCAAAAACCTTACCTTTTTTTTGTTGATCTTAAGGTCGAATTTCTACGTTGACAAATTTTTGATCATTTTCCTTCCCTTTTTCCTCCGGTAATGACAATTTTATCAAGTTTCTTACTAATTTTTGATCCCAAGTGATGTAGAACAATCTCTATTATTGAATATTGATAGGACTAACTTATTTGATAGTAAAAATTATATCACATTTCTTAGGATAAAAAATTTGGTAAAAAATTTTGGTCCGCGTATTTCTGCTCTCTTCTTTTTCCACCCCCTCTCCCGTTTGGTCCTTGCCTAGCAGACCCCTTTATAGCCAACAATTACTTGGCCACCATGCTTACGGCATGCATAGTGACATAGCATAGACACTTGTCCATTTTGTTTTTTTTTGTTTTTTTTCTAGTTTTCTATCATGCTGCCACCACTTCTTTTTCTTTTTCTTGTTTTGTTTTTTAATTCTAGTGTCAAGACACTTGTCGCCTTTACTAAACATATTTAATATTATAATCATTTAATTTTTTTTCACGCCAAGAATTTATTTTTAGGTCCATTTATTTATTAAAAATTTTAAAAATAATGTTGATATTTGGTGATTAATTTGTTGCACTCTGAATTTCCTCTTCACTTTGTTGTTCAATTTTTTCCCTTCTCTCACTCTAAAGTATAAACTATCTATTTCTTCCTCTTTTCATGATCTGCATGCCCTCCATTCTTCTCCAAATGCCACCAGTTGCTTGCCCAATATGAAGTGGTTGTAGTGGCATTTTGGTAATTTTTTGGATTTTAATTTTTTTAAGATATATTTAAATTCCTCTTCATTTAAAATATTAGTTTTCTTTTCCTAATTCCCAATAGCATTAACCTAATCCTCCGACTTTAAACGTTTCTCGCCCCATACAATCATCAACTGTGAATATGAACTTAAAGCATTCTACTAATAAATCTACTCCTTCACTCTAAACTCGGTGGTTACATTATTTATGTGAGTGTCATTATCTCTTTTAATTGTGCAAATGTTTGGCGGCGTAAAGGGGCTAAGAAATTGAGAGAGGGATCTTTAATTTATTTTTATTTTTTTGAACTGAGAGCCCTTTAATTTGGTAGATGCCTTTGGGGTAGTAGGTGGCAAGGGTCATTAATAGTAGTGAAAATTTGAGGTTGAATTTTTTTTAAAGAATTTATAATGAGTTTAGTCTATTAAGAAAATTTATTTGAAAATAAATTCGTTTTTAATCTTACTAATGAATAGTTCACTCTACTATTTTTTAAAACTCTAAAATACCCTTTTTTGAAAGCAGATTTCTGACTTGAAAATTGTTATGCATTAATTGTCAATATAAATATACCAATAAAATATCAATCATAAATTTAAAATTTAAATTCAAATTTTTGAATATTATACCACACATAACAGAGTATCTTCTTCTCTTACCCATGTCTTCTTCTTCGCTTGTCACCATTGATTCTGATTCACTGTAACATGGCATGGTGTTGTTGACACTTTTAGCATCAATAGACAGCTTACATCCCCCACTATGCATCAAGCAACCCTGCATACCAGCATCATCCAACCAAACAACCTTCCTCTATGGTGCACTGGCCCTCATTGCCCTCAGAAAAGGCGGCATCAAGCCCTGTGTTTCCTCCTTCGACGCCGACCAGTTCGACCAGGCCAACGAAAGAGAAGTTCAAAAGAATTACCCATTTTTCTAACTGTTTTTTGAGTGGACTTGAAAATGCTCTCTAACTACTGCTGTGTGTGTTTGAAATAGAATAGATAAGAATTAGTCTTTAAATATAAGATATAAGTGTTAATTGAGTCAAACTTAAATTTAATTTTTAATTTGACATAATTATAATTAAAACATGAAATGAGTTGCAATTGATTGTCAAGTATAAAGTATAAATTCTTTCTTAAACTTAAATTTGATTGAATTTTACGAATATTTAAATTAAACTCAAATTAAAGTGATCTTAATTTTTCAACAAAATTTTTCACATATATGAAAATTCGCATGAAACTTTTAGATGATTTCCTCACAAAAGTTACACGAACTCGCATTGAAAAAATGGTGTAGAGATACTGTTATGAACTTTAAATAGAAATCTACAGAAAAACAAATAGTTACAATTTTTTGAAATTTTGGATAAAGTTTATTAAAAATGTTGAAATCATAGATGTTTGATCAATAATAATTATATTTTCTCAAATTTTTTAATTAATATGTTGCAGCCATTATAGCATGACTTTCGTTATAAAAAGGTTTAATTATATATGTTCTCCATACAAGTTAAACAATGTCAATTTGATCGTTGTATTATTGAAAATATACTATACATTGCTTTTATTTATGGATAAATATTTACAATTTTTTACGAGTAACATAATGTCTTCAGGCACAAACAATTATGTCCAAAATGGACTGGATCGTTCAACCGTTCAAATATCAAAGCAAAGCAAACTGTTATTTATAGAGCAAAACAAAAAAGTACGAGTCTTAAAGCTATACAAGACTTAAACTTTTATGGGGATTCAGGAGACTAAAGGAGTAGACTATAATACAAGAGTCTAGATAGGGTGCAAGACTAAAGGAGGGGGTTAGAGCCAATGATGGCAGTTTAAATTTATTCTGTTGATTTATATGTAGATCTATTATTAATTTTTGTCACTTATGTAATTGTGATTTAATTATGTTAGATCAATATTATTTTGAATTTGTTATATTAATTCTGTTATAATGGTTTTCTTTTGTTCCTATGGTTCTGCACCTAAGTCGCGTGTGGAATGTTAGGCCGTGTCCAACAGATAGGAGTGCCGTTTTTCTTGTCCGTAAATCGTTGACAGCAAGAGTAGGAAATTGGAAGAAAATCACTATAGTGAAATTATTATAGCAACAGTCAATATAACATTACTGTAGCAGAATTAAAAGACGAATTATTATAACAACATGAAGGTAATAGTGAAACATTTAGGTCAACAGAAAATTTTCTGAAGAACAAACATGGCATTAAGCCTATTTAAATTTTATAATAAACATAAAGATGATTATGTTAAAAATATGGAAGAAATTGAGTTCTCAGATATTGAAAATAAATTACAGAACTGGGATACACCCAGTACCCAACTAAGAATATATATAATATTGGAACTGTTAACTTTAAATCAAGCTTAACAATTAAAACGTTGGAAAGGATAATTCTCTTTGATCAAAATGAGGATACCTTACAACTATTAACGGAAAGAGAAGTCTTAAAGGCTCAAGAAAATTATAAATTTTTAGATATTGGATTAGTCCAGGTGGCTTTAAAATCATTGACTCTTCAAGGATTAAATATATCTTTTATGCTAGCCTTAAAGGAAGCTAGATGTTTAGATTTTAATCAATCTTTAATGGCAGCTATGCAATCCAGCTTAAGTACTAGTCTAGTTTATTTTAACTATTTTCCAAATTTATCAGTATCTTTAATGGATAAAAATATATTAGATGTTTTAACTTGTAATATTCAAACTTATGGTTACAATTTTAAAGATGGAGCAGAGATAATGACTTTTACCCATAGGGTATATTGTAATGTGATGAATACTTTATGTCCAGAAGCTATGCTATATAATCATAAAGGTCAAACAATTTTAATTGAAAAAAAAATAATTAAAAGTAAAATTAAAATTCCTAAAACCATTAAATGGTCAGAGATTCAGTTTTCAGAAACCTGACAATTAGAATTTGTGGCTCCTAAGAAACCAGAAATAAATAAAGAAGTAACATACATCTTCCAATCACCTAAAGGGGATGTAATGATAAAATTTTCTACAGAAAATAATTTTTCAAGTTTTAAATCCGAAGCTTCATCAACATATTACACTCCTACTAGGAGGTCCACTTCTTCTATTCCAAATAGGAGAAGGGGAAAAAAAATCTATAATTGAAGGAATTAAAACCTCTCGTAATCAAATTCCACATGGAATTTATAGGCAAGATAATGAATCTTCCTTAGAGGAAGATCGAGACCTAACTCCATCCAAAATTGGATTTCAATTATAAATTTTATAGATTTAAACTCAAAAGAATTTATAATTAATAGAAAACAAATTAATGAAGAATTTTATTTCCCTAAATATGATGAATTTAGAACTTGGTTTTTTAAAACTATGAACCAAGAAGACCTTAAAAGATATAAAGAAATGTTTTACCTTTATATAGAAAGGGAAAAAAATGATAATTCCTTTTGTTACATGGTTTTTAACCTATTATGTTCCACCCCCTATAGATCAATTAAATGTAATTGAGCAATTTCAACATTAATGAAAAACATTGGATAGCAAAAGTATAAATAGTTTTTATCCTCCCGCTACGGAAGCTATAAAGCTAGCCTCCAATGAGGTAGGTGAGGTAATTTTAAATGCTTGCTACTCTTTGAAGGACACCAATGATATAGGAAGGAATATTTTCATAAAACAAAATAATTACACAAATGTTTGTCTACAAGTGATAGGACAACACTTGAGTAAAATTGAAAATTTCATAAAGGAACAAAGACAAGAAAATTTGTCTTCCCAATCTTTAAGAAATAAACCGGTTGAAATTGAAAAGGTAAACATTAAGCCTCCTGTTGATACTTCAAAATTTAACCTACATAATAAATTTGAAGATGAGTTCATTAATGAAATTAAAAAGAAATTAAAAAATTTGTCATTAAACGTAATTTCTCAAACAGAGTGTGTAGAGCTATCTGAAACTGAAATCCAATAATTTGAAGATTCTTTACACCAAATGCAGTGTGAAGACCCTGCCCCATTACCGGGACCCTGTCTTCCAAGGGTTAACCTCCCATTACCGGGATATCACCACCCTCCACCAAAGGATTTCGGCTAACCTGCGGGACAAACCCCCACAGTAGCCTTTACCTCTGTCCCACATCGGGGAAAGAGTCGTCTCCCCACCCCCATATAAGCCGAAGCACCATATGAGAGCAGTACCCAAGTAGCACACTGTGGTACTTGGGTACTGCTCTCATATGGTGCTTCGGCTTATATGGGGGTGGGGAGACGACTCTTTCCCCGATGTGGGACAGAGGTAAAGGCTACTGTGGGGGTTTGTCCCGCAGGTTAGCCGAAATCCTTTGGTGGAGGGTGGTGATATCCCGGTAATGGGAGGTTAACCCTTGGAAGACAGGGTCCCGGTAATGGGGCAGGGTCTTCACATAAAAGACGCCTTTTGTGTGAAGACTCCTCCCATTACCGGGATGTAGGTCTTCCAAGAGCATTACCGCCCTCCACCAAAGGATTTCGGCTAAAGCAGGACTCGCCCCACAGTAGCCTTTACCTCCGTCCCACATCGGGGAAAGAGTCGTCTCCCCACCCCCATATAAGCCGAAGCACCATATGAGAGCAGTACCCAAGTAGCACACTGTGGTACTTGGGTACTGCTCTCATATGGTGCTTCGGCTTATATGGGGGTGGGGAGACGACTCTTTCCTCGATGTGGGACAGAGGTAAAGGCTACTGTGGGGGTTTGACCCACAGGTTAGCCGAAATCCTTTGGTGGAGGGTGGGATATCCCGGTAATGGGAGGATTGCCCTTGGAAGACAGGGTCCCGGTAATGGGGCAGGGTCTTCACATAAAAGGCGCCTTTTATGTGAAGACCCTGCCCCATTACCGGGACCCTGTCTTCCAAGGGTTAACCTCTCATTACCGGGATATCACCACCCTCCACCAAAGGATTTCGGCTAATCTGCGGGACAAACCCCCACAGTAGCCTTTACCTCTGTCCCACATCGGGGAAAGAGTCGTCTCCCCACCCCCATATAAGCCGAAGCACCATATGAGAGCAGTACCCAAGTACCACAGTGTGCTACTTGGGTACTGCTCTCATATGGTGTTCGGCTTATATGGGGGTGGGGAGACGACTCTTTCCCCGATGTGGGACAGAGGTAAAGGCTACTGTGGGGGTTTGTCCCGCAGGTTAGCCGAAATCCTTTGGTGGAGGGTGGTGATATCCCGGTAATGGGAGGTTAACCCTTGGAAGACAGGGTCCCGGTAATGGGGCAGGGTCTTCACATGCAGTCTAAAGAAATAAATAAAATTGGGTATTCTAAATCTAAAAGACAGAATAATACATATTCACAAGCACCCCCTATGAAGGCTTATTATCACAAATCAACCCCTCAAGATATTTTATATGAGGAAAACTTTTTTATTGATCAACAATCATATGATGCCTCTTCTATTTATGAGTGAAATATTGATGGCATGTCAGAATATTTAATTCATCAAGTTTTGTTAAAATTTTAATGTATGCATCTGTCTGTAAAGCTAATCGTAACACAGATCATACTACTGCAAAATTTATAACTGTAACATTTACTGGCCAATTAAAAGGTCGGTGGGATAACTATTTAAGTATAACTCAAAAACATGAAATTTTAAATGCAATAAAAATAATAACAACTGAAGATTGGAGTATAATTACTCAAGAAGATGTTGTATACACTTTACTTCAAATAATATTAAAACACTTTGTAAGGACAAGTTTACAGAGTACGAATAAAAAGTAA